TTATAAGGCAGGTCTAGGAGTGATGAACTCTCTCGCTGTTTGTCTGGGAAAGTCCTTATGTGTCCTTCATATTTGCCAGTTATAGTATTCTTGGCTAGCAGGGTTGTTGTTTTTCCTTTTAGTACTTTGAATTTATCATTCCACTCCCTTCCGACCTGTCCATCGGGGGATAAAGGGTCCAGGGCTTCCTATTCTGCCATCTTGCTCTGCACTAACACGCCTTTTCATTCTTATTTTTCCCCCTCCCCCGCTTCCTCCTCTAGTCAAGCTGTTGTTTTTCAGTCTAGTTGTGGAGGACGCCGCTCACTGGCCCATGTTGGTATTCTGATCATTGCGCTCTACCCAGCTGAAGCAGTCAGTCGCCAGCAGTCGGCCGGCCGCTCACAGCAGCTCAGCTCCAGGTCGAGCCATTGTTCACAATCTTAGCTGTACAGGACGCAGCTTACTGGCCCATGTGGGAATCAAACCAGCAATCCTGTTGTTCAGAGCTCGTGCTCTAACCAGCTGAGCTATCCAGCCGCCCCGCCTTTTCATTCTTTCATGAGTGTCTTCCATGGAGCAATGGTTTTTAAATTCCAATGTATCAATTTTTTTTCTTTCATTGATTATATTTTTGGTCTCACATAAAAAATGTCATTGCCAAACGCAGTCACACAAATTTCCTATTTTCTTCTACGTGTTTTATAGTTTTGTGTCTCACATTTAGGTCTATAATTAATATTGCTTTAATTTTTGTAAAAGGTATGTTTTTTTCTTTTTTTTGCATGTGGGTAGTCAATTGGTTTTAAACAACTATCCTTTCTCTATTGAATTGCCTTCGTAATTTTTTCAAAATTCAGCCATGTTTTTGTGGATCTATTTGTGGGATCTCCATTCTGTTCCACTAAAGTTTGTGTCTCTAAAAGAAATTGGTTAACTTCGTCTAGGGTGTCAAAACATAGAGTTGATTCACCTGTTATCCTTTTTTGTGAGATCACTAGCCAATATCCCCTTTTATTGGATATTTTGGCAAATCGTTTCATGTCTTTCTTTTTCTTTGTTATCCTTGCTAGAGGTTATCAAGTTCATTGATCTTTTCCATGAACCAGTTTTTGGTTTTATTGATTTTTTTCTATTTTCTATTTTCAATATTTATTATCTGGGTCTTTACAGAAAAAGTTTGCCAACCCTGATCTAGCACCATAATATAGCCTCTCATCAAAGTGTTACACCCCCTCCTTTAATTTCTATTCAACCTGTTCTAATGTTGTAATTTTAAGCCAGCTGCCTCAAGCCCAAAAGTGGTTGCTATAAAAACAAAAGTAAAAGGTATGTCACCAAGAAAGGGATACTACAAAGAGAATTTTTTTATAATTACGTATTTACTGAGAAGTACATTAGAAATAACGTAAACATGGCCTTCTACAGCAAGTGAAGAAATATTATACTATAATTATCAAAAACTAAAACTATGCTTTAACTGAAATGCCAAAAATTTCACTAAAAACAAATTAAATATAGACTATAAAGATATCTGTTCCCAGTATTTCCAGGTTACACGCCTTCACTTTGGTCACAGAAGCATGTCAGGAGGCAACTGGGCTTGGCATAGAAAGTACATTCTTCACACAAATGAGTTACAGAAGGGTGACACAAGAGAGTTCACTTGTATTTGGGGAACAGTTACCACAATATTATTCTCTCAGGCTGCATCACTAAGTATCTAACAACTAAAGAGTTAGGAGACAACAGATTTTTCAGGATTATCTTCTTCCAAACTGGGTTACATGCCTTCTTCCAAACTGGGTGACAATGTCACTGCTATCAACATTTTTATTCAGCACTCTTAAGAAAAAAAAAATATATATATATATTTTTTTTTAAAAAGCATCATATTTGGGGAGTTTTCTCTACATTCATTTGTTACACTTGTTGGGGGGGGGTTGCCTATAAGTTTTCAACTGAGGCAAATCATACCATACGACCTCTGCCGATTCCTATCCAAGCCCTTCCTCCCCCAACTGTTTTATAAATAAGCAATGAGACTAAAATAAATCACGGAGAACAAACTGCAAACTTGGCACCTGACTGCCACTTTCTGACCTTGTCAATGACTAACCAGCTAGGCCCTGCAGGCCCAAAAGGTGCCTATATTCTGCCATAATCTGAGCTAGCCAGTGGGAAGGTGGACACTAACAGAAGCTCTTAATCTTTTTGGTGTCATAGACAAGACACAGTCTGGTGAAGCCTATAGGACCCTTTTCAGAGTAACACATTTAAGTATATAACGTAAGATATACAGGTTTACAAAGGAAATTGAAATATAATCACAAAATATTTTCAAAACCAAGTGTATAATATAGTAGTATATGCGCTTCTTTACAAATAGATGCAATGCCAATATACTGGCAGGTCTCATTACCACCACATACAAATTGTGGCATATCCACACTATGATGTTCACTACATAATTATATGCATTTGTCAAAAGGCAAAGAACTGTACACTAAAAATTGTGACTCTTACAGTATGCCAATTATACCTTAGTCAAATTGACATAAAAAGTGGTAGTGCTAGTCTAATAACTACAATTTTGAGGTTCTAATAGTTTTAAGATAGCTGTAACATCACTAATGTGATGTGAAAATGATTATTTTAGTGACAGGTGCTGCTAATCCTACTGGGGTTTGCTAATTTACTAACCAATGAAATGTTAAATTTAGTGTGAGGTGAATAAAAATAATGATGAAAATATTTTTCCCAATTTGGGTTGATGGCCCCCATGAAATCTACCAATGGACTGGGTCCATGGAGTACAAAGAAGGTCGTGAGGCTAGTCGCAGTGGGAACAGATAAACATGGGGGATCTGTGAACATAGATTCCTGAGTGTAGGCAGCCATGAGGAATCAGAAGGGGCTGCATTCCATAGTCATGCTACCTGCTTACTCTCATAAAGACATCCAGTCCTCAACTCATACATGGCCAGCCCAAGAAGTCTCCAAGCCAGAAAAAATGTGGTGGTTACAGAGGATCATTTCCAAGCTCCCAGGCTGCTCATGAGTACGTCCCCGTATGCCAGGTGCGAGCTTTGCCACAGTAGCACCAAGCATGTGTCCAACTACCTGCCTGTGGGGCCCAACGAGGAATGGATCCTCTGGTTCACAGTCTAGGGCCATATCCTTCCCCAAAACCCCAATGTCCTAGATCCCAGTAAGGGATCAGTCAAAACAACAGGGCATAGAAGTGTTGCTGGGGCACTGGGGCAACCAGAAAGGGCTTCCGCCCAGAAGATCCAGTCTATACCTGCTTCTAACCTCCAAAGAGCTGCTGGGAGATTCTTTAAAAACTAGTCAGTCTTGTATTTCTTTTGCTCAAAAGGTACCCATTGAACCTACTATCCAAGCTCTTTGTCTGATATTCATAATCTTCCCATTTACTTACTTTCTTCCATAATCACCTCCTACTTTGCTTCCTTTTACTGAGTCAAGCCACAGCAGTCTTCCTTCCCTTACTGTGTAGACATGCCCACTTGCTTCCTGCCTCAGTACCTCAGCACATGCCTTTTTTTTTTTTGCCTAGAATGCAACTCCCCACAAAGTCCACAACACAGATGAGTGCTTTCCTCTTTATGTCTTTGCTAAAATTTCATCTTCTTGAGATGCATTTCCTAACCATGTTATTGAACATTATTACTGAATATCCACCGACAAGAGAGTCATTCTCTTTCCCATCACCTTGTTTTATTATTTTCTAGGCAGGTATTATAATTTAAATTTTGGCATGTTTACTGTCTCCTCCACTTAGAATATAAATTCCATGAAAGCAGAAATTGTGACTCTCATGTTCATTTTGATATTTCCAGTCCCTAGAAAAGACTTAATCAGTACAAGCATTTTATAAGTCTGGAGGAAAAAGAAAAGAAAAAAGTATATACATGAAGCTGTTAACAATGATTGTCTATGAGTAGTTAGGATTTGGGAATGTTTTTTCCTTTTCATTATCTTTACTTTCTGACTTTTCTGTAATAAGCATATGTTGCTCTTACAAGGAGTTTTTAAGTAAAAATAAATGAATACAAGGTATCACTTTAGGAAACCACTCTTCAGCCAAAAATAATACAAAAATGTTCCATTATACACGAAGATTGCAAATCCGAAGTGAGGTTTCCTTACAAACTGATTTTTTTTGTACAAATTCAATTAAGAATTCTATTACAACCATCTTCCTTCCGTCTTTATTTTTATAGTTCTTCACTTACAATTTTTTTTCGATTACATTTTATTATAATTAGTTTCAGGTGTACAATACAATGCACTGGTTATCTTCCTTCAGTCTTGAACATACGCCTTGCTCTTTTAAGGACTATGCATGAAGAAATCATGATTACTTTTCTCTCCGGGTCTCCAAACAGGAGAAACCCATTGCCAGCTGATTACTTTGTCATGGGGTCAATACTATTCAAAATTAGCCACATGACTGTATGGGGACCTCATGTGCAGGGCATATTCACACTCACTGCAAGTGCCGCTGACTCTCCTTAGCGCCAACTGCGGTCTCTAGAAAGCAAATCACGCTGCACAGCCCGCCTGGGCGGGGCCAAGTGGAAGGAGCCGGAAGTTGCCCTGCTTCCTTCCCTCCCCTCTGCCCTGGCGGAAACTCCAGCGCTGGAAGAGAGGTTCCGGGGCTGGCCTGGCCTGGAGGCGGCCGAATGGAGGCCCGGACTGAGAACGGGCGGTCGACCCGCCGCCCAATGCTGGCCTCTTCCTGGGATGCCACACGCGGGGCCCTGGCCCAGAGCCTCCATGTCACCGGAGATGATCTCGGCGTCCGGGACTCTGACCCGGAGGAGCTGCTGGCGCCCCCTGTCCCCGGGTGCGCTTGGCCGGCGGAGATAGGGGTTGCTGCTCGGCGACAGCCCCGCTCCTGGGGGAGCCGTGAGGGGAGGCAGGGGCCGCGAAGGGAGAGGGTCTGGGCGCGGAGTCCGGGAGCGGAGCTGCTAGCCGGTCTGTGCGGGGAGCAGGGCCGGCGTCGGCGAGGGGCGCGGCCCGGGTGGCGAGAGGGCGGGTCTGCGGGAAGGCGGCGGCCACGGCCAGTGCGTGCGTGTCGGGCGCGGGGGCCTGGGGGCCGGGGACCTGGCAACGGCGTTGCAAACGCGTCCGCCTGTGTCTGCGCTGTCTGCTCATGAGGCCCCCTGTCCGAATCGGAATCCGCCTCTCTGTCCCCAACAAAAGCCTCCTGTCGACCAGTGTAGGCGTGAAAAATATTTCAGTAGTTGAGAATCTCCATCAGCTTAATTTTGAAAAAGATACGCTCTGTTATTGTATTCCGCTTCCCACTCTTACGCACCAGATATGTGCCCAGTGAGTTGTTAAATTAACTAAGAAGTAATTACAGGGGATTGAGTAAGATGTCCATGATCACGGATAAAACAAAGGGGAATGCCCTGAGCTCTGACGCATCCATTTGCTTAGGAAGGAATCTACCGAGCATTTATTGGGTGCATGGGAAGGTGCATGGACCTCAAAGGCAAATGAAAGTGAATTGGGAGAAACACCCATGGCCTAATAAGTGGGTTGTGAACAGTGTTCAGAGAACTGTGCTGTGTAATAGTTTTAACAAGTTTCTCTTCAGCCAGGATCTGGTCATTTTGAAGAGAAGCCACAACAGCAGAGGTGACAACCCCTGCTTCCTTTACCTGAGATGTGACCCTCATGGAGGTGAAGAAATCGTTTCCGTTGGCGTTTTAAGTTCAGCAAGAAATATGGAAGTATACTTAGGAGAAGAGTACTGTGGAACCAGCAGGGGCAAGAATGTTTGTAATGTGCTGGATAACAGGTTTGTGGCTTGTTGATGCAGAAGTGTTCTTTGGGGCCAGTGTTATTTCCCTCGGCTCTTGCAATATTTATTAATTCTGTCACTGGTGCCAGACGTCAGGGAAGAGAAGATTAAAATATACCAGCAGGAACAGAATGTTAGACCTTTAAGGGATCCTCAAGATAATTTTGATAAACTTTCTCGTTTTCATAACCATGGAAATTTAGAGCTCATAGAGGGGAAGTGACTAGACAGAGGGTTGTACACGTTCGTCAGACTTGATAGATGACCGGAGTGTGTCCCCCTATTGCTGCTGCTCGGCTTTCTCCATGAACTCACAATGGTATGTTTTCAACAAGTTAATCTGGCAGGCAGCCTGGAACTTTGAACACATTTTTTTGAACGGAAGCCTATTACAAATGGTAAACGTGCCCAAGACTGCCATAGCAGCCTATTTAATCCGTAATTCAGCTGTTACATTTTGGTTTTTGTTTATGCTCTTATGTGTTCTACCCTCGTCTCTCCTTAATATAACCCAAAATATGGACTATTTTACATATTGCACACACTGGAAATAAAGCTAACTTGATTGAGCTTTACTGTGTACTCTGCGCTACATGAGTTTATATAGATTATCTCATTTAATTATCTTACAAACAGAAAGAGCAGACAGGATGTTTGTAACCAGGTCGCTTGAGTAGGGAACCCCAACTCTTTGTCCCTTGCCAGACAAATTGAATCTCGGGGTTTAAGTAATGGCCTAGAAACAATTTGTTTTTAAATGTAACTATTAAAAATGATAATAAAAGTACAAATAATTTAAATTCTACTTTATTTTTAGTGAACATGAAATTATTTTCTACAAAAAATATTTAAAACTGGAGTCCTCCACTCTTGCTTGTAAAATAAAGGTAAGTCATCAGTGAATTTTAACTAATTTGACAACTGCAAATGTTTTTGTATAATTTGTATTTACTTTCTGTTGGTTTGGTAATACAGTTAATTCAACTTTGTTCCTGGTAATCTTTATATAAAACTATAGTGTCAAGATAACCACAAGCAGTTTTGGCTCCATTATATCAAGAAAAACCATGGAAAAGAATTAGAGAAGTTATAGAGAAGAGCATCTAAAAGTTAAAGGGATTTGGACTGGTGTCTTGAGTATGAAAAATATCATAAAGATGAACTTTTGTGATGTGTCTGAAGTCCAGAGAAAAGGTACTGAGCTGGAAGTCATAAGCCCAGTATATTAATTCTGCTTTGTTGCCTACTAGCTGAGTGATTGTGGACAAATCTCTTTATCTCTTTGGAACTACCTTATGGATCAATTAGATAGATAACAAAAAAATAAGTCTTTGCTGTGTACATGAATGTTCATAGCATCATCATTTCTAATAACCAAAAGGTAGAAACAACACAAAAATACCCATCACCTAATGAATGGATAAACAAAATATGGCATACCCATACAATGGAAAAGTATTTAGTCATAAGAAGCAACAATTTACTGATACATACTACAAACACGGATGAATCTTGAAAACATTATACTGTATGAAAGTAGTCGCTTCAAAGCACCACTTATTGTATGAGTTCATATGTGTGTGTGTGTGTATATATGTGTGTGTGTGTGTGTGTGTGTGTATATATATGTGTGTGTGTGTGTATGTATATGTGTGTATGTGTGTGTATGTGTGTGTGTGTGTATATATGTGTGTGTGTGTATGTGTGTGTGTGTGTATATATGTGTGTGTGTGTGTGTATATGTGTGTGTGTGTGTGTGTGTATATGTGTGTGTGTGTGTGTGTGTGTGTGTGTGTGTGTGTGTGTGTATATATATGGAACGTCCAGAACAGGCAAATCCATAGAGACAAAGCCGATTAGTTGTCTGGGGCTGGGGCCAGGGGGTGGGGTAGGGGATAGGGAGTGACTGGCAGTAGTACAGGGTTGCTTTGTGGAGTGATGTTATAAAATTGTGGTGATGGTTACACAACTCTCTGAATATACTAAAGTCCACTGAATTGTATACTTTAAATGGGTTGATTGTTTAGGATGTGAATTATATCTCAAAGCTGTTTTTAAAAAAATTAAGGGAAATAAATCCTTATAATCTTTTTATGTTCACATTACTTCATGCAGAGTTACGAGACTTTAGAATAAGAAAAAAAGGAAGGGAGGTAGCAAATTTACAGAACTGATTGTCCCAAGATGTTTTAGATAGTATATATTGATAGCTTCCAAGTTTATTTAATTCAAGTGATTGATTGCTTTAACATGAAATATTCATTCACCAAATATTTGAATACCTACTGATGATAGATACTGTACAAGGCATGTATGATTAGCAGTAATATAATAAACTGGAATGACTGCCCCCATGTTGCTTACATTTTAGGTGGGTGAGACAATAGGCCGACTCAATGAGTAAATATGTACAATATTCAGTGGTGAGAAAGGATATGGGAATTAAAAAACAAAAAGGGATTTCAGGGAGGTTAGGAGGTGGGTGTATAAATTTAATGGGAAGTTTCCATAATTGTTGAGGCCAGTCACCGCTTTGGTGCCACACTCAGAGTTCTTGAATCATGGGTCTAGTTTGACCTTCATGAAGACCTGTGTCTTCATATTACATACAGTCGGTTCTGTATGTGTCTCTGAAGGTGAGTGTCTCCTGTAACTGTTCTGTGGAAGTGCAAAGGGTCGTTTCATTTAGGGGAATCCTAAACCTACAAAAGCGTGTTCTGGGGCAATAGTATGTGAGAGTTAAAAATAATAGTTACTGATGCATAGTTTTGAACACTTTCTCAGTAGCAGGTACTGGGAATTTCAACACATAATCCTCACAACAACCATGTGAAATCACTGTTATTACCTCATTTTATTATTGCCTCTCGTCTTGGTCTTCGCTCAGGATCGTACAGGCTCTAAGTATAATAGCAGAGGCATCAATGAACTCAGATCTGTCTCATTCTAAATCCTGTTCCCTTCCCACTTAGCTACTCTGTTGTCCATATCACACATGACATGTCTTTTGGTTCAGAAGCATGGATGAAATGAGACAGCATAAAGCACTGGACAGGGCACTGCTGTAGAAGCCAGAAGAACTCAGTGCCAAGATTGACTTTTACTAACTGGGTAATCCTTTAACAAGTTAGATAATCACCCCTGACCGCATCTTTTTTGTGTGTAAGCCAGCAGATTATGTTAGACCATCTTGACTTTCCCTTATAATTCTAAATTCTGAGACTGACTTACATTGAGTATTTCAGTCAATCCTTTGGAAGGCCTTCTGAAGAGCCTTATTTTGTGGTATGTGAAGGGCTCAGGTTGGTAGAATTTATTTTTATTCCTTAAATTAACAAAACTTTATTTTAGCCCGTTTTGTATATTCTGTGTACTTTTTTTTCATTTGAAAATGGCATTCTTTTACATAAGTAGTATTTCTGAGCCTCATAATACATTGGAAGTGCTGACCATTAAATTTTAGGGAAAATTTAAAAATGAAAATGTATTTAAGTTTATATTTGCTTTCCTGAATACTTCACTATTGCTAGTTTATATAAAAAAATGACTTTAGATGTGATTATTGTTTAATATTGTTACTTCCTGAACTTTTGTTTTATAATAGTTGCTCTCCTTTGGTGAAAAGCAGTGTGTGTTCGTCAGTAAAGTTGTGGTACATGTGAGACCAGTTTCAGCAAATCCTTCAACAAGCTCTCCTGCTCTAGGGTCAAGGATAGACCTCGAGAGGGTCCAAACCATCATGGAGTCCATGGGGTCAAAGTTATCACCTGGAGCTCAGCAACTGATGAGTATGGTTAGGTTTCAGCAGCAGGTAAGGAGGAATGCATTTCTTTCCAGATACCATTAAAAATGTCAGACTGATGGCTTTTCATAAGGACATGTAGTGACTTAAATAATTCCTTGAACTTTTATTATTGATTTGACTGTTACCTTGATTTTACTGTTGTAAAAATAACATTTTGTAGACCTACCCTCTTATAAAATATTTGTGTTACAGACTTTGGTTTACCAAATGTGAAAGTTGACGAATGATATTTAGTTCTGTGAAAATTATCAATTATTGTGACTCAGTTGAGAGTACTATGTTTTGTTACCATCAGTTAGAGAGGGCTTTGTAGTGGAAATATTAAAATATGCCCATACAATTTAACAAAGTATGTTAGTATGTATTTTAATATTTTCTTTAGGAAAAAGTACAGTCAAATGATTAAAAGCCCTGACTCTGGACTTAGGTGGCCTGGCTCGTGTCCCGGCTCTGCCACTCGCTAGTTGTACCTTGGCCCAGTTACCTTTAACCTTGGTCTCCTCAACTTTATATTGGACAGTAACTGTAGCTTGCTTCATGTGGATGTTTTGAGGATCAAATGAAAGCATGCACATTGCCTGACTCCTAAGTTAGCTGTTGTTAGTGTTAATAGTAACCCTTACGTGTTTCCCTTGCTTAGAATCGTATTGCCATTGGAGAGCAGCTTCAGTCGGTTCTGGGAAATACCGGATACAGGTGTATGGTTGACCTACATTCATCATCTACGTCAGGGGCCTTTGACAAGCCATCCGCCACACCTTTTCCTTTTAGAACTGGATTGACAGCTGGAAACGTGACCGAAGACCTAAAAGCTTCCATTGATAAAAGCGCACAGCCACCTGGTGGAGGGACTAGTACAAACCTCGAAGAGTGTAACATTGTGCCACAAAACCATGCTCTTCTTGAGAATGATCTTAAGAATGTAGTATCTTCTTTCTTACCGAAGAAAGCAGGTGACAACTCCAGTATACTGAAGTCTGAGTTGCTGCCCTTTCTCCAGAATTTGTGTAGTCAAGTTAACCATCTCTGGGCAGGACATAACAGCGAGCGTCTGGAAACCATCCCCAAGCCCCGTGAAGGCGATGTTGGTGTTGCGTAAGTAATCATTTTAAGATAAACATGCTTTAGATTTGGTAGGTGTAAGAATTAACTGAAGAGAAACAGATTTATTTCAGTGAGTACTGCCTGAGCACTGAATCATTTTCCAGAGAAAATGTAAGAGCTTTTATGTTTTACCATTAACATGCTTATAGGGAGTAACTATTATACAAGTGGGAGAGAGCACAGTTATGGAGACAGATGTCAGCAATGTATGTCGGCTGCTTGTTGTAAGCTTTGGTTGTTTTGTTATAATATCAGGGATAATTATTATCTTTCAATTTATCTTTAGAATGGAAGAGCCACCCATTTGCTCCTACTTGGAAAAGATTCTTTCTAAAAATGTGGAACTGATGGAAAAGAAACTAATGGACCACATCGACCAGCAAATTTATAAACTCCAGGAGCACGTAGATAATAAGATTGCTTTATTAATGGACTCGCTGCAAAATCGCAACTCCTCACCTACTGGGATTCCTCTAAGATATTATGACTCCAGAGAGAGACTTTCAAATGGAGAAAGATAGGTGCTCAACATGTACAATGTACTGCAGATATTTATTACTTATTTATTACAAAGCCAAGACCCAAAAGTTCAAAGCAAATATTTAATGTCATCTGAGGATCGCCATCTTATATAAAGTGACCTCAGTGTTCATTTTAACTGTACTTGTTATTGTAAACCCAGTACTGTACACTAAGAGTTAACAAGAACGGGTCCTAAATTATTTTTGTTTGCAATATTGTTCATTCTTACAGAAATTTATGTGTACATCTGTGTTATTTAAGTGTTTAAAATTTTTAAGGATTTCTAATGCAGTTCATATGTTTTGGACAGACGTATATTTTTTATTTATAAAAGACCTTATTTCATAATCTTAAGAGTATGAAAAATAATGCTTAGAATATTTGATAATTTTTCTTTTCCTAATTGATTGTGCTTGGTAAATTGGATACAGAAGACTTGGAACCTTTAATTCAGATCACTAGTTTACATTTTGTTTATCTCAGATAATGAGGAAGATACAATACCTGGTATTTGTCCATAAACACTGAGACCATTATTGTATTCGTTTCAGTGCAGTGTACCAGTAAATAGGAAAGTGAAAATCAAAGCTATTCCTTGTTCGGATATTTCTTTAGATTTAGTGATTGATGCAAAACGAGAGAAGTCGTCTTATTTTACATCAATAACCCAGGAAGTATAAGGAACTCTCATATTCTGAGCTGACATAGATTGTCCTTCCCAGAGCCCTTCTGTGGTATTTACGTGTGACATGCTGAGGCTCTGCGTGGAAGGAGTAAGGCCTGGGATTCAAGGAGAGGGCTGTTTTCACCAGCAGACTTAATTTTCAGAAATTATAACTATCATATATGTGTTGATATATTTGCATCTAAAAAATAAATGTGTCTACTCTGGAAACTACTTGTCTTAAGTAAACAGCAATGTTTTATTTTCACTGAATCTTTGCTTAAAATGTTTTATTTTTATGAAAAGAGGTGTTTCACACACACTAATGTTTTGGTGAATTTATTCTTTAAAATGATGGCTAATTTATAGACTGTTCAATTTTATGATATTACAAGGTAACGTGCTGTATGGAACACACTCTAACCACAGTCACTGAGGATTTGCATGTCACTTTTTCTAGTCTTTCTCTAATTTGTGGAACACTCACAACATATATAGCTATAAAATAGTACCTGTCATTCAGGATAAATCTGTCTTAGTTCAAGTCGAATCCTTCAGTTGTTTTACAGCTTCTGGTATTTGTAGTTCATTGACTCACAAAGCGCCTCCCCCATGATCGTAGCCACAGTCATTACCTTCAGAGCGAGGACGAGGCATGAAAATAGATGTAGAAAAACTAAGGATGGTTTTTTTTCTGCATATATTGATGATGAAAGAATTGTGGCGTAAGATCACAATCATTTCAAGAAGTAATATTTAGCAACATGAGATTTGATACATTAATGACTTCTTTGCATACTCTGTGAATCTTATGCATGTTGTGACTCGTTAAGCAGAGCGTAGGGTGTGGGATAGTGTTCCAGGGCTCAGCAGAGGACCACAAGGCAAACGGGAACAGCTTTGTCACTCCCACATCCTGGAGGAAGGACATGGCATGCCTGGAGGGGCCACACAAGGAAGTCATGGCCAGGTGCAGGCAGCGAGTCAGAGGTGCATGCTTTCATTAGAGTCCGTGGGCGGAGGGCTTTGGGGTTCCTGGGGGAAGGCTGGATTTGTCAGTTCATACCAAAAAGAGCAGAGTTTTGGTAAGCTCCATGGGGGTCTTATCTAGGCACACAAGGGGAAGGTGGGGGAAGACGTGATCACAAGGGCTATTGGGGGAGTCCTATCAGCACTTACACTTCCTGGTGCCTCTCCAGGCTGCTGTCTATGGCACGTGCTTGCCCGAGGGATCTAGTATCAGTGTAAGGCCACCACGCTTGGCCAAACAAGATGGATGCCAAGGCAGCAGGTGATTTAGAGGCGGGTTTTTGTGCTTGTTTTACATTTTATGTCCTAAATAATACCTCCCTGGCAATCCACATTGAATGGCTATTCGGGAGTGAGGAGAGTGATGGCAGCTGGAGGCCCAACATGGAGAAATGGGCAACAGCTCTGTTGAGAATCAGTGAGTTGAACTTTGAGGTCCCATCTAGGTCACAGGGGTTTGTTTTCTTCTCGGTGGGCAATTCTTCGTAAATTCACACTCACAAGGACTTGGACCCAGGTCAGTATGTTTTGCCAAGTGCCCACCCTGTGACTAACCTGGGTCAGGTGGTTGCAAACACCCTGGTACCTGCAAAATCGCATCTCTGCTAGAAGAGAGCGGCCCGGATCCCAGGCTACTGGGAGTAAGCCTCTGAGCCTCCCTTACCTGGCCCCTGTTCCATCTCCATGCCTCTTCCACAGCTCCTCCTGCTCCCCGGATTCTCATCCACACCTCCAGACTCCTACATGGCCCTGGCATCTGCCATGAGAAGAGTCCAGTGTTGCCCACGGGAGAGGACCTCCCTATGGAAACCCCGTGCCCTCAGAGCCTTCAGTGCCCAAGGCTCCAGGGGACGTAAACGTCTGGACAGACAGTGTGCCTTCAGATGTTAGTTCAGATGTTAGCACGTGCCAAGGTTTGGAAACTGGTTCTGAGCCTTTGAAAATCCCAAATGGAAGGCATCCATGTTTTTAGAGTTTCAGAGAGGGGTCCATGTAATAAAATCAAGACAAAATTTACCACCAGGAAAAAGTTTCTCTCGTTTGGAGACATCGTATTCCCCTTTTTTGCCTAGGCTACTGTGAAGCTTCAGCCTAAACTTCATTTTCAAACGCTTTCATTTTTCATCCCAAGCGTCTAACACAATGATATCCCTACCTGTTAAATTGCTCACATGCCTTCTTTTTATTTTCTACTCTCACTCTCCTTATATTGCAATAGAATATCACAAGCTGTTTGCGCCAAGTCCCAGAGTGGGTAATACAGAAATGTAAGTACATTTATAACTAACCACCGCAAAAATACCAGAGGCAGATAGGATTATTTTCAATATTGCGTTTATTCAAAAGTACACAAATATGTTATATAGCACATAATATAATGTAAACCCTATCAAACTTGACTGGAATAAGAAAACATTCTACTAAGAACTATTGCCCGTGAGGACATTTGTACCCACCCAAGTCAGAATCCCTCATTTACGTCACAGAAGCATGGCAGAGGATCAAAGTCGGCATACAAGCTACATTCCTCACAGTACCAGACATTGGGATCCGACCCAGTGGTGATGGGTGTGGCCGAGGCGATCTTGTCCTGGGTAGCCATTGTTGGATTAGGTTTGAAGGTCATACAAGCAGGTGCCTTTGGAGCTCTTAAGAAAAGACAGACACAATGATGGGATTACACTTTTTCTTCTCAGTCCACTTATTACAATGGTTAGGGATCTCCAGGGAGTTTAAGGCTGAAGCCAATCAAACATGTGATACCAGCCTGACATGGAAGCTTTCTGCCCCAGCCTCAAGTTCCTGCTTAATTTCTTTACCTTCTAAGATTGCTAGAAATGTAAAATCAGGTTACAGGAATAAGGGAGAGTGAACTGCAAGTGTGGATCATTGGGCTGTTCACTGCAGGCCCCCAAGTGCAGAGCACAATGGGAAGGTGCCACAGCCAGCGTCCCTCAGGTTGGGAATCTCCCTTCTACCTCACGGGCTTAACTTCCTTGAATGGGAACACCACTGCTTCTGACAACTGATCTCTCCCATGTTTGAAGGGTCTGCTCCCCAAATTTAATTATCGTTTGTGTGATCTACACGTCCTTGTCAGGTATCCCCCAGGATCTTCACACAGCTCAGCTCCCCATAGTCCTACGGGCCACCTCACCATTCCCAAGGCCATGGGCAATGAAAGCGAGAACACCCCGAGAGCTCCCCAGCTCAGATAAGAGGAAAGCGATTCAGCGCATCCTCTGAGCAAACACGAGGTAGAGACTCATTCACACAGCCTCCCCCACAGTCCTCAGTACCAGGGACCTGGGGGGAGGGGCCCAGTCAGTGTGCTGAGCTGGCCAGCTGAGGGTAAACTCCATGAGGTAGGTGACAGCCAAGCAGCGCTGACACCCAGAGCCTCCCGGCTGAGAACAGTCACTTAGGAGCTCACAACGCCAGCCAGAGCGGAGGAAGCCAAGATGCTATACTCACCTGCCTCTGCCTTTTCCACCCTGCCCGCTGTTCCTGACCTCCCCCAGGATGTGGCCCCAGGGCAAGGGAAGACGCTGCTCAAGCAGAGAGCCCAGGGGTGCCACTGGAGGGGAGGTTGTTCACTCTTATGCCACTCACTTCAATATGTTGGCCAATTTGCAGATGAGAGAGAGGAAACAGCACATCAGCACAAACGCAGCGATCAGTAAGCCACCCCCAATGGCAATCATAATCTTAATGTCAGTCTTCTCAATCATGGTCGGAAGTCAAGCGGGCACCTGGGCAGAGAAGCGCAGGCAGGCAGCGAATGTATTCACTGATAGTCAGGACTGACCCCTGGCTGTTTATCAAATTTATATTTCACAGGAATCACTAAGCAAATGACATCTTTTCCTAAGTGTCATGCTGCACCACACTGAGTATATGCAAACATATTTTTAAGTGATATATTTTAAGAAAAAAAGGTTTTAATTCTTCCATGACAAGTGTCATGCCATCTCATGGTTTAAGGGGGTTCCTGGCCCCCTGGCCCTCATTCTCTCTCTAGAAGACCATAGACCTTTTCTACTATTTTTCCTCCTAAATCTTCCCAGGAAATCCAATATGTCTACAATAAGCAAGTTGCTTAATCTAATACCCTGAAACTGGAGAACCATAAGCCAGGAAAGCAATGTAAACGATGTGACTGCAGAGCTTACCTACTACAGTTAAACCATTCAGATCTGGATGGAGGCCAACTATTAAAAAATTTTCAATTAAAAACAATAACTTTAGGGAACAGGGTACATCATCAAACCTGTAATTTGAGAAAGGGGGATCTGATCATCTCTCTTAGGAGGAATTCAGATCCCAGGTCGAAGAGCTTACTGTAGAAGCACAGCCACCGCCCAGCGCCTCGGGCTCTGTGACATCAGCTCTCTGGATACCAGCTCTCTGTCACGGAATTCGGAATTCTGTTCCATGTGTAGTTATATTTTAGCCCCCATGAAATAGAAATATTATTTTGAGTCAACTAATTCTAAGTCTTTACCTTTTCAGGTCTTTTAATTATTGAGTTGTAAGAATTCTTTACATATTCTGGATATTAGGCTCCTTTTCAAGATCACCTTTCTTCAGGCTGTAATATAACCTTTATTCTTTTAAGCACCAGATGTAGAGAAATCATAAACACTTTCTCCCCAAGGGCCCCAAGGAGGGAAGTCAATTGCTGCTGGCTTACTCTGGAGTGAGCTAAGTGCCATTGACCATGGCCGGCCCGCTGGCATGGACACTCCACGTGGGGGGTGGGTCCCCAGGCCCTGGTGGAGGAGGGTAGGGACTCCCCACTCTACTTAGTGCCAACTGTGGTCTCCACCAGGCAAACCCAGCTGCAGAGCCAGCCTGGGAGGCGCCAGCCTGTCAGAGACCCACAGTGCCCTGATCCTGCAACTCACTGCCAACGAGGACTGCACCTGGACACTCGAAAGACCAGAAAACAAGAGCATCAGAATCATCTTTTCCCACTTCCAGTGAGTAGAGGCTTCCGTTCCTAATGAGGGTGGTTGAACTCGGGCCACACTAGGGAGTCTCTGTGGGAAGCAGTCGGCTGCTCCTCTAGGTGGCGGTAGCACCCACGACCACCATGAGGATAGTGGCTGAAAGTCACTGATGATGACTGTGTCCCTGGCTCTGGTCACAGGTCCTGCAGGGTGAGTATGCATACTGTAGGTACAGGGAGGTGGGGAACTTGTCACGGGTGCGTTAGAATCAGCAGGGGAACTTCCACAGTC